GCTTATTAATGCAAATTTCTAATCAGCCAATCACATGGCAGCAACTCAATGCATTTAGGCATGTAGACATGGTCAAGATGATCTGCGGCAGTTCAAACTGAGCATCAGAATGGAGAGGAAAGGGGATTTAAGTGACTTTGAACGTGGCATGGTTGTTGGTGCTAGACGGGCTGGTCTGAGTATTTCAGAAACTGCTGATCTACTGGGAATTTCATGCACAACCATCTCTAGGGTTTACAGAGAATGGTCTGAAAATGGGAAAATATCTAGTGAGCGGCAGTTCTGTGGGCGCAAATGCCTTGTTGATGCCAGAGGTCAGAAGAGAATGACCAGACTGTTTTCCAGCTGATAGAAAGGCAACAGTAACTCAAATAAGCACTCGTTACAACCGAGCTCTGCAGAAGAGCATCTCTGAACACACAACACGTCCAACCTTGAGGAAGATGAGCTACAGCAGCAGAAGACCACACCGGGTGCCGCTCCTGTCAGCTAAGAACAGGAAACTGAGGCTACAATTCACTCAGGCTCACCAAAACTGGACAATAGAAGATTGGAGAAACGTTGCCTGCTCTGATGAGTCTCCATTTCTGCTGACACATTCAGATGGTCGGGACAGAATTTGGCATCAACAACATGAAAGCATGGATCCATCCTGCCTTGTATCAGCGGTTCAGGCTGGTGGTGTAATGGTGTGGGAGAGATTTTCTTGGCACACTTTGGGCTCATTAGTACCAATTGAGCCTCGTGTCAACACCACAGCCTGCCTGAGTATTGTTGCTGACCATGTCCATCCCTTTATGAGCACAGTGTCTCCATCTTCTGATGGCTACTTCCAGCAGGATAACACACCATGTCATAAAGTGTGAATCATCTCAGACTGGTTTCTTGAACATGACAATGAGTTCACTGTACTCAAATGGCCTCCACAGTCACCAGAGCTCAATCCATTTGAGCACTTTTGGGATGTGGTGGAACTGGAGATTTGCATCATGCATGTGCAGCCAACAAACCTGCAGCAACTGCGTGATGCTATCATGTCAATATGGAGCAAAATCTCTGAGGAATATTTCCAGTACCTTGTTGAATCTACGCCACGAAGGAGTAAAGCAGTTCTGAAGGCAAAAGTGGGTCCAACTGGTACTAGTAAGGTGTAGCTAATAAAGTGGCCAGTGAGTGTATATTGAATACACTATTATCGCGATAACAATACTTTTGCAATATACTGCACATCCCTATTGTAAATGCACTGGGATTTATGCACATGACTATTTAGGCAAGTAATTTAATTACTTATTGAGTAAATTAGTTACTTTTCAGGCAAAGTATTTAGAAAAGTAATTTAAAAACAATTGTAATGATGTTTATAACTTACCCAAAACTGGCTTTTATTTGTAAAGGGCTTGTGACTTTTTACCAGTACAGCCATCAACCTGCATCTACTCTCCACATTTATAGACTGATGGGTGGATCACGGATGGTTGGAGCAGACTAAACATCCATGACCATTTCAAACCACAGATAAAGCTTTGGCTGGCTGCAAATATTAATGGGTGAACACCAGCTGCCATTCCTCTACAGCAATGTAAGTGCGAGGCAGCCGAGTAAGATTTCTTCTGACACAGGCATTTACCGACCACAAATGTGCAGTAAATGATAGGGTTCGTCCAGCGTGATTCAGCTTTTCATTCGTTTGAGAAGCACCGGAGTCACTGCCACAAATTAAGCGAAAATCACAAAGGAGCTCTCTTAAATATCTCAAATATTTATCCTAGACAATAACTGAATTAAACTGGGACCTCCTGCTTGTCGGATTCTTTCCCTAGAGGAAAAAAAAAACACCAAAAGATCTAAACTCTGTCCAGATTGCCAAGTCTTTTTCCCCTTCTCAAACATTTTTCGTCTGATTTTTCCAAGAGCGTTTATTCTTTTAGACATATGCTCAAGAAATATGCTGACAATGATACGATGTAGAAGATAACATTTCACAAGGACTTGTTAAAAGGAGAGTTCAGCCTAAAATGAAAGGTCATAATTTACTCTCCTGAACACAAAAAGAAGATACTTTGAAGAATGTTGAAAACCAGAAGCCACTGGCATCCAGTCATTCATTTTCTCTTAGTCTTCATTTCAGAGGTCACCACAGTGGATTGAACCCCCAACTATTCCAGTATATGTTTTATGCAGCAAATGCCCTTCCAGTACTGGAAAACACCCATACAAAAGCTGATTTCGGGACCGTGTCCCACGGTTAGCTCAGAATTTAGGTTTTTAAGTGCAAAAAGTTAATAATTGTAGTGCTTTTTTTCCTCATTACAAGTTGCTTTTTAAGCACTTCCAAGGTGCATTTTTTTTGTTTGTTTTGCTTTTCCAGAACTTAACTACCAGCTTTGGTCTCATTCTTGCAGTCAGATTTTGTTTGGGTGTAGTACCAAACTTTCATGACCAGTCGTTCATGATATTTCATGTGCATTGCTATTCAAAATTCATGTAACAAACTAAATCCTCACGCGTCCAAGCCATTCACTGTAAAGCCTGAGGGACAGAGCTTGCAGTTAGCAGAATTTGCCACACATTTTAATCACGAGATGTTGTATTTAATCCTTTATTTAATTGCCACAGTATTGTCAGTCGTGCAACTGCAGCGCGTTCACCATCGCAAAAGGGCTTGCATTCACTAAGATTTAACTAATATTGCAGCTAATGAAAAGACTGTTTCTGCAATTAAGATGACATTAGCAAATAATAAGTTACGTCAACTGGTTTAAACTACTTTTAAGTGCTGCGTTTGGCATTTTTAGAAAAAAAAATGTGTGTTGTCTCTTAAATACACACATTCGGTGAACAGTTTGCAATGAAAACGATAACAACGATGTGATCAGGAAATTGATTTTAATAGGCTAAACTTTTTTATTTTATTTTCATTAATCTAATGTTTGTTATGTATTCTATCATTTGAGGTTATTTTCCTCCCTATACTTGTAACGGTGGTTGGGGGCGTGTCCTGTATTTTTATATCCCAATGTTGACAGGTATAGTTTAATCACACAAAGCCTTCTCTAACGAGCAGTAAGCAGATCTAATTTCTAATTTAAATATGTAAATCCATTTCATATATTTAAAATAAAAGTTATCGTTTAGATTTCAAACATATTCATATATATATATATATATATATATATATATTTCAAAATTGATTAAACAGAGTTATTTATGATTATTATGACATACAGCTGAAGTCAGAATTATTAGCCCCCCTGAATTATTTGACCGCTTGTTTATTTTTTCCCCAATTTCTGTTTAATGAAGAGAATATTTTCCTCAACACATTTCTAAACATAATAATTTTAATAACTCATCTCTAATAACTGATTTATTTTATCTTTGCCATGATGACAGTAAATAATATTTTAGTAGATATTTTTCAAGACACTTCTATACAGCTTAAAGTGACATTTAAAGGCTTAACTAGGTTAATTAGGTTAGCTAGGCAGGTTAGTGTAATCAGGCAAGTTATTGTATAATGATGGTTTGTTCTGTAGATTATCGAGAAATAAAATAGCTTAAAGGGGCTAATAATTTTGTCCCTAAAATTATGTCTAAAAAAATTAAAAACTGCTTTTATTCTTGCAGAAATAAATCAAGTAAGACTTTTTCCAGAAGAAAAAAATATTATCAGACACACTGTGAAAATTTCCTTGCTCTGTCAATCATCATTTGGAAAATATTTTAAAAAGAAGAAAAAAATTTGACGGGGCTAATAATTCTGACTTCAACTGTATGGTGTAACTTATATCAGTAATGATTAAATCACACTGAACTGAGCTAAACTGAACTGAACTGAACTTAAACACTAAAACCTGAACCACACTGGTCCAGTTACTGAACCACACTGGTCCAGTTACTGAACCACACTGTTCCAGTTACTATGACTATTTATGTGAAGCTGCTTTGACACAATCTAGATTGTAAAAGCGCTATACAAATAAAGCTGAATTGAATTGAATTGAATATATGTATAAGGTCCAAGAAACATTTGCAGGTTTTGATGAATAGGCTACTTCATGATAATACTTTACATTTATTTACAGAAGTTTTCTTATAACTTTTAAAGAACAGTGCCATTTTTAACTAACTTTTAAAATCACATTTTAATTTAAACGTTGATGTTTTATTTATCTTTTTTTTTTTTTTACGTGTGTTATTATTCAAACTATTGATGTTTAAAATGGCTGACAATAATAAATATTCATAATAATAAGAATTAACCTGCCACGCTTGTGAACTGTGCACAGCTGTAGCCGCTTAATTAGACTATTAGACTACTATTTCAATACTAGTCGTTATGGTGGTACATGGAGAGACATTTTTTTTTCTGAGGTGGTACTTGGTGAAAAAAGTTGGAGAACCACTGGTCTAAAACATTATAATTTTTTTTTAAATGAGATTTTTATGAATATGTTATTTTCATCCCCCGCTCTCCCTTACTTTGAATATTCTGTCTGAAATAACCTGCAATATGACTTGAAAACAACAGTAGCACTATTTATTGACGGTGAATGTTGTACTTTTATAATCATTGGCTGCTAGTATGATTTCAATATTTAGAATTTGTTTACTTTTCTGAAATTATGTTATTAAGGATAAAGACTTAATGTGTGAATATAAAACCAAATGTACATCAACTGTCACAAGTTGGCACTGATTGTTCTAATAATATAAAACCAACTTTACTACTCAAATATCTCACAGAGTGGATGGAAAGCTCTAAAAAGTTTGACTGAGAAATAAAGGTTCAGTCAGTATGAAAGCGAACAGACTCAACAACAAAAACAATACAGAAAGAGTTCATCTAGTTCATCTGTGAGAGAGGCGAACCCCAAATTTCATGCTTCACCGTTACAATGAAACCGCACGCCGGCTAAAAAGAGCCGTCGCCTTCTACTAAATCTGTGACAGAGTTCATCATCAAATCGAGAAACATATAAGAAGAAAAGACGTACTCTGGAAATGGTGAGCGGTGTGCTGAAGTCTCGTCCACCCACCAGCCGAAAACCCCAGGGCGAGGGACCGCTGAGAGTCACAGTGTGAGACATGTTGGGTCTGAACAGTATCCAGAGCAGAAAAACTGCGCTTTCTTTATCCAGTCTGAAGCAAAACTAGCGGTGATTCTGCTGCTGTCCTGCCGGGGGAGGAGGAGCCGCGAGCGGCTTCAGGAGGAGGGACACGTCGCTATGACAACCGCACACAAACCTCAGCACACACACATACACACACTAACGAAGTCGTGATAATACGATGATAAGGTGTTTATTAATCAGAGAGGAGGATATTACTGTATTTATGTGTTGGGCAAAGTAAATTTTTTTTTACAAGTATTACAATCTTAAACTTATTTTAATTTTTAAAAAAAATGCAAACATCCCTGCTAAAAAATCCAGGTCTTAGCTGGTCAGGCTGGAAAATGACCAGCTAAAACCAGCTTGCCCAGCCTGGTTTAAGCTGGACATAGCTGCCAGCCAGCTAGGCTGGTCAAGCTGGTTTTAGCTGGTCATCTCCCAGCCTAACCAGCTAAGACCAGGCTGGAAATGGCTGGAAACCAGCGTGGAAGTGGCCAAAACCCCTCTAAAACCAGCCTGGTTGACCAGCTAAAACCAGCCAACCAGCCTAGGCTGGTTTAAGCTGGATTTTTCAGCAGGGATAACATACATTCAAATTTCTTTCTTTAATAAGTAATGCATTTACTTGAGTTAAAGTAAAATATTAAGGTTCAAAAACACTACAGTACCCAGGTGAAAAAGAAGTGCTGTTAAATATATTACAAATGTAGGCTACTTGAAATGATGATAGATAATTAGTACAAATAACATAAGTGCATTCGAAATGTGTTGGGACAACATGAATGAATAGTGTGGGGTAAAATCCACTTCAGTTACTTCAGTTCACTTTAGTCTCCACTTCACTTCCTAATCTGCAATTGCCTCTCTGGATATACCACTAACTGTACTCAAAAATAAATAAATAAATTGATTAAATAAAAAAAATAAATAAATAAATAATATTAAATAAATAAAATACTAATACTTTCCTTCTTAGACTTTACAAACCTGAAACTTGCCTATAGCACTTCTTCATTGTTGCTCTTATAGTTGTGTAAATTGCTTCCTTGTCCTCATTTGTAAGTCGCTTTGGATAAAAGCGTCTGCTAAATGACTAAATGTAAATGTAAAATTGTAAAGAAAATGTCCAAAAAGTGGCATGTTCCTTCATTTCTGTTTTCCCATTGTGTGATTTCGCACACTCTTGTTTCCTCTTGCTCAGACTATTCAAGACACCACTTGTTCAGACAAATGAAATCAATATATATATATGAATCATGATATTTCACCAACATGATTAGCATAACTTGAGGGGGGAAAAGCATTAGTCTCATTATTAGTCACACTACAGTAAAGCAAACACATCTCACATGAGTAATCCACACCTTCTTCCCAGGGTTTCACAATGATTTCCCACATCAGTCAAAGCATTAAAGGCATAGTTCAGCCAAAACGGAAAATTCTGTCATCATTTACTCACTGTTTACTTGCTTCAGAACTGTTTGAGTTTCTTTCTTCTGTCGAACACAGAAGAAGATATACTGAAGAATGCTGGAAAAAACAGTTGACAGTACAGTTGAAGTCAGAATTATTACCCCTCCGGAATTATTAGACCGCTTGTTTATTTTTTCCCCTATTTCCAAAATGGAGAGCAGATTTTTTTTAACTCATTTCTAATCATAATAGTTTTAATAACTCATTTCTAATAACTGATTAATTTGATCTTTGCCATGATTTAAATAATTTTAGACTAGATATACTTCAAGACACTTCTATGCAGCTTAAAGTGACATTTAAAAGCTTGGTCCCACTTTATATTACGTTTCCCTAATTACTATGTACTTACATAAAAAAAAAAAAAAAATAAATAAATAAATACAATGTACTTACTGTGTTTATAAGGTATTTGAGAACACTTGTGGTGCTTTTGAGTTGGGATAGAGGTTGGGTTATGGACAGGTTTGGTGGTATCGGTAGGTTTAAGGTTAGGTTAAGGTGTAAGGGATGGTCAACAGTGTATTTACAAATGTAATTACAAAAGTTAACTACAGATGTAATTACATACATGTATTTAATCAAGCATAAGTACACAGTAAATACATGTATTTACACAATAAGTACATTGTAGCAAACTATTAATTCCTGTGTAAGTACATATTAGTTAAGGCCACTTAATATACAGTGGGACCAAAAGCTTAACTAGGTTAATTAGGTTAACTAGGCAGATTAGGGTAATTAGGCAAGTTATTGTATAACGATGGTTTGTTCTGGAGACTATTGAGAAAAAAATATGGCCTAAAGGGGCTAATAATATTGTCCTTAAAATGGTGCTTACAAAATTAAAAACTGCTTTTATTCTAGCCAAAATAAAACAAATAAGACTTTCTCCGGAAGAAAAAAATATTATCAGACATACTGTGAACATTTCCTTGCTCTCTTAAACATCATTTGGAAAATATTTTAAAAAAGAAGTAAAATATTCGAAGGTGGGCTAATAACTTCAACTGTTGTAACGCCGAGGAGTAACACCACAACAGAAGGTAGGATCCAATGTGCAGGTTTATTCACAGTCAGGCAAGCAGTGGTCAATACGGGAGCAAACAGGTATGCGAGAACAATCCAGAATCGTAATCAGTTAAACAATCAAGAGGTCGAAAGGCAGGCAGCAGACAAGGATAACTAAATAAACAAGGCTAGGTTCAAAACAGGAAAACAAGACAAGGAAACCGCGTTGTAATGCTACTTAACAGTGAACAAGACTCGGCAAACTGAAGGGGTGAATGTGTGGCTTAAATAGTGTGTGTTAATCAGTCTCTGAAAGTCCTCAGGTGTGCAAATGTAATCAAGCTAGATGAGTGAGCATGGGTGTCAGGGAGAAGTGCATGTATGAAAATGTAGTCCAGGAAAGGTGTAGTTCTAAGTGTGTGTGTTTACCAGCGACATCTGGTGGTTGTTCGCTGGTGAACATGACAACTGTATATGTTGTGGATGCCAATATCTGATTTTTTCAAACATTATTTAATATATCTTTGTGTTTAACAGATGAAAGTAATATAAAAAATTTTTGAACCTCTTGAGAGTGTGTAATTGATGAGGAAATTTTTAGGCAAACTGTCCCTTTAAATCGATTCAGTTCATGTCTTAGTCATGCATTTTCCTTGACCTCAGAGCATTATTCTTCCAAGCAACCATCCAACTGGCAGAGAGTCAAATGTAATCATTTGCTTTACAGTATGGGAATAGGTGGAATGGTTAAGATACATTTCTAATGCAGGTTCTGAAGACAATGAACATATCGAGGAAATTTAGACAGCTCAGTTCAAGCGGTTAGCATAATGCTACACGAAATATTAGTAGCAGATGTATTTGCAGATGATGCAATAATGCAGTACAGTAATACACACAGACAAGAAGAAAACATCACATATAGGGGCCTTGTTATGCCCCTTTTTAAAATATGTGAAATAAGTCTGTGATGTCCCTAGCCACTCAAAGTCCGCCGTGACGTCATTGACTTTCGCTTTAAGATTGAAAGGGCTAGCACTGTGACACATGTACAAGTTATAGCTCAAATGAAAGCTCTTGCCGGTGCACATACGGTTCTAGCATTCTTTTTACTGAATTACATTCTCATATCAAACAGTTGCCGAATGAATTGCGGTGTTTCCATGGCGCAGAAGTGAAAACAATACATTTATGATCAATAAGCAGCCCCAGATAGCACAGACAGCTGTCATCTCTTACCTTATGCTGTGCGCTTCAGGGCCATTTCTCCTCTGTTTTTGAGGTGATGTGCATAAGTAATCCTTTTATATGTCTGACATGGTCCAAACACAGTGAATTATGTTTGATCAAACAAAAGAATAGTGAAATATGAAAGCAATGACCGCTCCCTGTGGCTTGTACAGCACCTCTCAGCAGTTGGAATACAATAACTTTTGCATAGATTATGGTGGAGACATTTTTCTTATTTCCTATGATTACAGACATGTGCAGGAACCACCAAAATTAATTACAGCACCCTAAACCACACATAGCCTAAAAGGTACACTTTCAAATTTGAGTTTATGAAAAAAAAATACAAAAAGCGCCTCTATTTTTAGGTGTTTATTAAAACACAGACAACATATACAGGTATTTTAAACACTTTCAATTGTGTTTTATGAATATTCAAAGGGTTTTCTTTAAAATGAGACCAAATTTTTGCATTTACACCTCTGCATGTGGATTTGGGAAGCTTTTAAATTTGGGTAGGCAAAATCTAGGCGGAAATCCCCAAATAGCACAGGGGTTTAAGAGGCTGGAGTGTGTGTGAAGTTTCAGCTCAAACTCTCTGAATTCGACCCTTATATAGGCTTTGATTGCCATAAGGAAGTTGCCATGAGGAACCGTATACCTGTTTTATTTATTTATTTTTATCTTTTGACTGTTGAGTGATAGTATTGTGAAAGTGCTGGCACTTTTAAAACAGGTTTTAGGAAACGAGGTAAAGCACTCAATCTGCCCTGGGCTGTTTGAGTATTATACACCTGCTCTGCATATGTAACACACATCACCTGCTTTTTTTATGACATACAACAATATTAAATATTAAAAAGGACCACCTGTTAAGCACAAGCTGTGATATTCATGTGACGTCAAAGAGATGCATTATGTGCACTCACCGGCCACTTTATTAGGTACACCAGTTATTAATACCAGGTTGGACCCTCTTTTGCCTTCAGAACTGCCTTAATCCTTCGTGGCGTAGATTCAACAATACTGGAAATATTCCTCAGAGATTTTGCTCCATATTGACATGATAGCATCACGCAGTTGCTGCAGATTTGTCGGCTGCACATCCATGACGCAAATGTCCACCACAACACAAAGGTGCTCTATTGGATTTGTATCTGGTGACTGTGTAGGCCATTTGCAGTGCCGGTCCGTAGGGTTGAGGGGCCCTAGGCGAGATAAAAAATAAATAAATGGACCCACTGGTTTAAAAACAGTAAGATTTAAGCACAAAAAAAAACAAAATTTTATCATTTAAGTTTATAAATTTGTATTAA